ATTAAATGTTTCAAAATTCTTTATCATTAAATGTTTTTATTTCGGATGCAGGCTATAAAATACAAAAGAAACAGAGTTAGAAATTTAGCAAACATTTCACGACTATAAGATATTACAAATGAACTTTATTAATGACATATATGGTTCAAAAAGCTCTACTATTATTAGCCCAAAGGGCATTAGAAGAGCTATTAATTTCGTTTCATCATTTTGCATTGAAAACATTAGATTTCGGTTCACTTTTCAATTTTTGCCGCCAAATATTAGAACCTTTTATTATATTTAAAGAAATTATGTAGTGAAAAATCTGCATAAATGAATGTATATTTCTCTCATTGTGATAAAATAACGGTACCTAGAGCCAACAAATTTTGAATAACGTAATCGTCCACCGAATATGGTCATCTGGAAGCCCTAATTTGGAATTTAGAATTTGTTTTATTATCGATTTCATATTTTGTAGCACTAAGAAATTTTTGATTAACAAACTCAGCGATTTCAGCAAATTCAAAGACAGCAATGCCAACACTGTACGAAAAAAAATATCTCCAGAGCGTGAGACTATGTATCAGAAATTATAATGATATGCTCCTTTTAAAATTACTTTGCGATATTGCTGTTGAATTGAATTTTATGGTTTAAGTGTGAAGAACATGATATTTAATAAATAAAGGTAACACTTGGGCGTGATGTGAAATCTGAAAGCTTTCAGATTTTATTATATTTTCTCTTTATCAGAAGTGCAAATAAAGTGCATTTTTAATGAATCACTTTTTTATGCTAACGAGAAACGCTCTATTATGATATTTCAGATGAATACATGATCGTATGCATCGGCTTTTAGCAACATGATTGCATGATTCTGATTTATTTGCAACGGACAGGATTTTATCACGAACTGAATGCTATAAAAGTCTCTGAAGTATTAATAAAATTAATATACGAGAGGTGTCAGCATACTTAATAAAGAGAAATATTGTTATTACGATCATTTAGTCAAATACAAAGCATGTCGCGAAAAAATAACTCATTTAGTTAAGTTTCATGCCAAGTACTCAACAAAAAACGTAAAATGTCTTAACATCTTAATGATTCTTTCAAGATTCTTCATCAGAATGGTTCCAGTGCAGAGGCAAACGAACATGGAATGTATAATTTACATTAAAACATGCTAAATATTTTAAAATTAAATGTACGGCAGAAAATTACATTCGGACGAAGTTACAAAATTTTAATAATTAAGTATCATCTAAATTGATTATTTAAATTATGCATTAATATTATGGCAGGAGACATAAATAAATATCAATACGCAAAACCCCATTACAGAAAGACTTAAGTTTAATTTACTTCTTATCATGAGGACAGTATTTTTCTCTTTGCATATAAAAAGTAAGTAAGGTAAGAATGTTCATAAGACAGACACAAGAACACTTTAAATAATTATTTTAATTCATTCATATAATATATGGAATTTTGTCTCTCAAGAATGCAATTCAAAATTTCCTGGAATATCATGAATACACACACTCGAATCTTATCTAAAAAGATGTTTAAGAAAATTTAGAAAAAAATACAAAATCGTAAATATCAAACAGAATTTTTATACATTGTATGCGATTTTATTTAATATTCTCATTGCAGAAGGTAACTATTAATTTCGAAATCATTTTCTTAAATATCAAACAATACAAAAGAATTTTTTAAAGATTTTAACATCCATATTAATGTTTCCAATTCTCTAATAATTACGCTGCTTCCTTTTAAGAATTTATAGGTTACGTAATTTGTAGGAAGCAAAGAAAGATCAGAATACTGTTCCTTTACTACAATGAAAATAACTCATCAGTAAAACACCCAAAATTATAGCATTATTAGTTTTAGAAAATACCAAACTTCCGATTTACAACAGATATTCATTAGTTTACCACTATATAAGGAGAAATAAAAAAATATTTTTGTTCGTGTTTGCCTTATGGAATTCCTCTTCGTAGTAGCGTCTGTAAAGATAGTATAGATAAATGGTTTATTGTCAATTAAATCAATAAGTTTATGAACCAATTTTAATGCCAACGAGTTTTTCGATACATTCACAAGTAATAAGAATTTTATTAGCCCAAAGGGACAATTTGCCCAGAAGAACTATTAACTTCGTTTTGGCATTTTGCTATAAATTCACTATAAACGGCGAATCGCCTTTCAAATTGTTGCCACCTAATATTAAAGCCCTGTATTATAGTATTTAAATAAATGAAATAATAAAGAATCTGTATAATTGCATATATGTTTCTCGCATTGTGATAAAACAGCGGTACCTGGAGTCATCAAATTTTGAGTAATGTACATCTCCACTCGAATATAGGCATCTGGAAGCCCAAATAAGAAGTTTTGAATTTGTTTTATTATCTATTTTATACTTTGTTAAAGCATTTATGAGTTTTTGATTAAGAAACTCAACGATTTAAAAGCGAGCAATGGCAACACTGTGTGAAAAAAAGAAAAAAAAAAAAAAAAAAAAACATTTTTATCTCCAGCGCGCTAGACTGTGTATCGGATATTCTAAAGATGTGCTCTTCTAAATATTTTGTGATATTGCTGCTGAATTGAATTTTATGGTTTAAGTGCGAAGAACATGGTATTTAGGGAAAAAGATAAGACACAAAACGTTAAAAAAAACGCCTCTTTGGGCGTAATATAAAATCTGAAATCTTTCATGTTTTTTTCTTTATTTCTTTTCTTTATTACTAAAATACGTTAGAAATGATTTTGCAGGTATACATAATTATTTCAGTGTATGTGTGCATCTTTCATTTGAAGAAGGATTATTTCAGTAAATGTTTTAGTAACATTAAATAGTAGTATTTAGTTAGCAATTGCTTTAGAAATGAATCTGTTGGATAACAGTATATTTCTAAAAATACTACACTATAATTATCAGTATTTAGATTTTCGCTTATTCCTTATCGAGTCATCATGTATAAACTTCGCCTGTGATGGAACAGATCAATTATATTTCAGTAAAGGGCTCTAAGAGTAGAAGTAAAATGACTTGTTCTTCTAGAGTCGTATACGATACGTTTTTGGTTGACAGTAAATGAAGATTTTCATATACGCTGGAAAAGCAGGTAAATCAGAACCTCCGATAGTGGAAATGTGTAAATCGAGTCTCTAGTTTAATTCTTTTCGATAAAAACTAACTGTATCTTTAATTTCCACGATTAATTCGTTCGACTTAATTCGCTGTCTTTGTTATTTATATTTACATCTTTATTAATATCAAACAAACAAACAAAAACTCCATTATACTGAGTGAGCATAAACATATTTCTATCAGCTATCATCTCAAATACGACGTTTCAGCCGGTCATGTTGGGAGCAGCTCGAGTTTACCAGCTCAAACGACCAATTTTCAATCATGACGTTACTTCCGTCATGAGTCGTGACGTTACTTCCGTCGTGAGTCGTTCCGTCATGAGTCTTTCTCCCGTCGTTAATAAAAACAAGTTCTGGAAATATTTTTGAATAATTTAAAGGAAACTTTATTCGCCATCTCCGAAATACCTCCTGACTTTATTCTCCATTTCCAGAAACGGCTAATTTATAGTTACAATGTTAAAAATGTATTTAAGGGAATATATTCCCGTAAGCTAGTTTAATACTCTTAATAAAAACCAAAAAAGTATGAAATTACCAGAAACAATGATCATGTGAAGTAAGCATGGTGTATGCATTATTTTACCTCTGAGAATAAAATGACCGAATCCCGCAGAATTAATTTTGCTCTCTAAATCCACAAAAAGAATCATACAAGGTAGTATGGGAGAAAACGCATAAAAAAATCTGGATCACTTCCAGCCAAGGAAATTTATTATGCTTCAGTTTTGGTACTGAATTTGAACTGGAAATCTTTCTCTGAATCTCTTACGGTATGATTAATTTTCCATTACAAATTGTCTCGCTCTCACCACAACCATAATTCTTTGCTTATTTTGCCACGGTTTCAAAAGGTATAATTTTTTTACGCATCTCATTCTAGATATCTCATTTTTTGTCACGTTTCGCTTTTTTCATCATCTTTCATTTTCTGCTTCTCTTTCAGAAAGTTTCTTCTCGAAACGTAATTTTAGGATGCATTTTACTGATCACAATAGGCCCTCCATACCTCATTTTGCAGATTTCCTGAAATAAATTCATTGTTTTTGAACAGTAAAGTAATCTTCTCTCAATATATATATATGCAACAGATCCCCATTTCTCGCTGAAAATTGGAGAGCGGCCAAATCGAACGACCCACAATCACTTACAGGTCCCTCTTCGTCAGGAGCAAAGAATTCTGCAAGAGCAAATAAATCTGCAAGATTCAGTCTTACAGATTTCTTTGCTCCTGACGAAGAGGAACATGTATCTCCGTTCCCTCGAAATCAATTGAGATCCTGACGTAAATGTCACCCAAACTCAAGGTTGTTGTTTTGCTAATTTTATATAATAAATAAAAGCTTGAATTCTGAAAGTCAGAAACCCTTTGAATGTAGAAAAATTTAAATTGCCATATTTTTAAATACTCTTCACAAGCTCGCATAAAAATTTTAATTTCTTATACCTTTATTAAAATTTTTAATTAATTAAATAAAAATTTAATTCAATAAAAATTTTACTTTCTATACCTTATTAAAATCTGCCACCTGACTAATAGTATCAGAGTCTGGAATCTTCATTTATTTAATTGTTCTCCTATATTCAAATCATAAGTTTGGTCGATATGGAAGATATATATTTAGTCATGCAATTATTTTGAAACACCTTGTATATACGGTATGCAGATGTATTCCGATATAAGTAAATTAGATACATAAATATCATATGGTGAAAAGCGGTACGTAATTTGAATAGGTTTCGGTAAATGTGTGAGATTTCCGAAATGTAAAATACATTTTAGCTTTTTGCTCTGTGTTACATGTGTATTTCAACTGTGGAATTTAACGTTTTGTTCTTATGCCTAGATTATCAAAGATTATAAGCTTTTCATGGTGGTTGGAGTACTCGTCATGATTGATGTCATCATTCTCACAACTTGGCAAATCATTGACCCTTTTTACCGGGAAACTAGCACAGGAGCTCCGTTGGTAAGTAATTGCTAAATACATCCATTTTCAAATTTTATAACTAACACTGAAAATGTATAATAATCTTCGTAAATAACCGATAAAAAAGTTTTTTTAAACATTTTTATTTAAATTTTTATTAGTTTAAAGTGTATGAATATTAAGCGTGCGGACCCCGTGGGCTGGTTTTGAGAAATCTTACGCAGGCAGTGACTTTCCCTTTGTTCTAAAGCTCGAGTGTGGCAAGTTTCGTAAAGATCAGAATTAAACCATAAATTTGTGCAAAAGACTCTAGAAACATTAGGCGTGTTTGGAAGCAGGAGACTTGAAAAATAAGCAACACCTTCGCCGGGAATCGAACAACAGATCTCTAGAATACGTGCCCAACGTGCAGACCGCTACACCACGAAGGCATGCCAAGAAGGTGGGAGGAATACCTTTTAAGACAAACAAGCAAACATTCATTTGTATATATACAGAGAGAGAGAGAGAGATTCTGCAGTCATTATATAATGTATACATATATATTATATAATAACCTAAGTTATTACATTGATATTGAAAAACAAGTAACACAAAAATAGGTGAAAACAAATATATCTGTTTGAATTATCATTTGTGATTAGCAGATCAATATCGCAAATTAAGAGCAGAATACTACCTTTGACAGTTTAATAGCAACGCAGTAGGAAACGTTTCGTTTGTTTGCACTGGACATAGCAATGAAATGAGCAGAGCTACTTAATTTTGGCTAGAGTATATAAAATTAGAAAGTATAATCATTTATCTCTTGCTGAATCAACACATATTCAGATTCAGCGATACATAATCTATTTTCATGCTATGTCGTACTTAATGTAATTAGCTACATACCGTCAAGCAAAGCTTTACTTCCTCATTCAGTTATATTGCATAAATGTTTATAATGAATACTTGTGTATTGATAAATTAGAGAGGACAGAACAGTGTCGAATTTGTGCAAACTTAACGCACCAATTCTTTGATCTATTTCCTCATGGCATATTGAATTATCGCTGGAACTTGAAAATGCTGTGGTTTCATAAGTAAGTCACATGAATACTTCTCCCTGCTTTTAGTGGTTCACGGATGGCTGTCCTGTGCTTTTGCCTTTGGTAAAGGACAAGAGAAAAGCTGAAAACTGTAAATTAGAAGAAAAGCTTTTAGAAGGTATTTTCTCCTGCAACTGTTTCATTCTGTGATACTGTGGCGGTAAAGTTCCTTTATCTACCAAACATGTTTCATAAATATCTCTAACTAATAATTACTAATGACGTGTTTACGTACTTTCGCACGCAATAATCATTATCTTTCATTGATGCCGCCATTCGAAAAATCTTTCTCTAAAATTCTCGAAAAGCACTAAAATGTTTTACTTCAAATAAATATCAAAAATTAAAATTCTAATTCATTTGTGATTTTTATATTTTTAATCGTCAACATATGTTACAGATAATTTCCAGCCATATTTTTTCCCAATATTTTAATTATTAGAAGTCCTGGATTACGCGGGCAAATTGGTTCAGCTACGCTTATCAGAAACTTCAGGTACTAAAACTTATTAAACTTCTTAACAAAGTTATTGAACCTCTTAACATCGAAGCTAAAGTGATTATTTCTAGTTCCATGCAATAAATAATTTAATCAAGTAAATTACTTCAGGCATTAATTTCAGCAAAAATAGTATATGGCATTTCACAACCATTATGAAAAAAAACTTTTAATACTTAATATAATCATATATCCTTTTCTTTATTCCCTGGTTGAAAAGATATTGAAGCTTCGAACGCACTTAATTGCCTCAAAACGTTATTGGAAATACTACTAATATTACTTCAGTAACATGAAAGAAATTTCAATAATAATGAGCTGTAGCGATGAGCTTTATAAGTAAATGGAAGTATTTTTATTGTGAGGAAGAATGAACTGTGTATTTGACTTGAATGTAATTCAAGAAAAAAGGTACGAATATAAATAGTTGAGGAGGTAAAAAATTACGTTCAGGTAGCGTTCACATTGTTGTCAAATGAGTTATCCTAACGACTAGCAACGTAGTAATTCTGAGACCTGCCAGTATAAAAAAAATAAATAATGTAAAATAAATGAAATAATAGAGAAATATAAATAAATAATATCAGACAGCAGTTTATTTACTTACATTTCGGCTAAGCAGTATAAAATTGTCAAACACTACTAGTTAGACGGGGGCTCAAATCTTGCCGAATGTGCTGGCTACATGGGCGTTTTCGTGTTTTTCCCCGTGTGTGACGTGGATCCAAGCGCTACTAGAAAGATCATCACAAAGAAAGACTTTCCGTTGCGTTGCCATAATCAAATAAACCAAACAAACTATATCTTTGAAATCATAACAGTTCTTTGAATTCAAGTTAGCAAATCGAGTGATTTAAAAGCAGCATGTCTACTTATTATTGGAGAAGACAAACAACAAGTAACAGCGTTGTGTTTGAAAGTTTTGCAGGACTAAATCCGATGATTTCACTACACAACCATCTTCCTCAGCTGCCAAAGTAGAAAAAAAATGAAGCATACTTCTTTGTATTTTAATCCTGACCTTTTTTTAAAGATATCTATTTGATATATTACTAACAAGGTTACCTAGTTCTTATTTTTTATTTTTTTAATATATACAAATTTTCTTTGCGCAACAAATACACAACATGGGGCTTACAAAGTAAGTTAATTAGGTTACAAAACGAAATTAATTAATTGGTTATCTCTTTGACACTAATTTGTATAACACAGCCAACTGATGACTTCTGTAAACGTTATACCATTTGTTGAATACACAAAGCGGGCTTTTAATGTTATGCATTATGCAAAATTTTGCACCCTTAGTAATAAAGCCTTTCTTGTATTTTCCTTAAAAAAAGGCAAAATATAACGAGATTTCTAAACAGACATTTTAAAATACATCTTTTTAAAGCAAACAAATTCAGCTCTCTTTCCCCATGCCTGTTCATTTAAACACAACACAAAACAAAACATATTCTTTGTGAAATGCAGTAATTCGTTATCTTATAGTAAAAAGAATTACTTTATATCCATTTTTAGCTGAACTATTTCTAGCGATGAAAACAAAACATAAAATTTGAAATTTTCAACGGAAAGAGGCTGTCCATCACAGCGCCACTCGTTTCATTTCTCTATCTAGCACGATATTATTGTCTTACCCTGTCAACCCCAACCTTCTTCCATTTCCACACGGTCCCTTCTTGTTATATTGACAAAACGGTCAATACTCAACATATAAGAAGAAAGAAATGAAGTTATGGAAGTTTATGTCCAAAGTTCTCCGAACAGACAATTGACTTTTGGTGACTTGCGAGTTTTTTGATTTCATATATCTGGCTGAACCTGCTCCTGAGAAGATGTGGAAAATTGGACAAGTTTGTGGCCCTCTGTTCATAGGAAATGAAGCAGGAAGTCAGCAAGATGAGATATTTTCTTCTGGTACAATTTAGTTAATCTTATTTGGACCTTTCTTTGCTACAGAAATGTTTCCTTTACCTACAGAGGTAATGGAGAGGTGCCTTCGTAACGTTTTTAGAGATTAAAAGCGAATGAATAAGGAAATTGCTGCAGCGTAAAGTTCTGGGTTTCAATTATATTATCGTAAAAAGAATCAGTTAAAATATATTTCGTTTGTGAAATAATGCAGGTTTAGATACTTCATACGTATATGAATGCATGAGGTAATATATATATATATATATATATATATATATATACATATATACATACCAACTATATATATATATATATATATATACCGCTGTATATTCATTTATAATTACAATAGATTCTAATCTATTTTTCGAAGGGAATAACATCTTTTAATAATTTGATTTAAAATTAATAAGTTTAGCAGCGTGAGTGCTAGATATGGGCTTTTCAAGGTCCATTTTCACTATATATATATATATAAAGCAAAATAAAAATAAAATTAATAAGAACTATCATTAATACAGCCACCACCAGTTGTTGTAGCTATCAAAGAATAATTATATTAAGTTTTAAACAAATTTTTACTCCACATTTAAATATATTACTTATATACTTCTATATATATATGTAATAGATTCTGTAGTAGAATTCAAGCGGCTGAATCCATCATAAACAGCCATTCTTGCTGTTTATGATGGATTAGAGATGATTTTGATGGCTTAGAGATATTGAAACGCCAATCCACAATGAATAAGAAATTTGGCAGTCGAGATAGATTTAATTCAACTTTTATTTCAGCAAAAATGTTTCGACCACAAACAAGTTGACACGTTATTTATACTTATTTCAAAAGTTTACATTTTTGATAAATTTGTAGTAAGAAAGAAGGAGCAGAGAGAATGTAGTCCAGCTAGGCCAAAGCATAGAAAGCAAGTGCGTTATGTTCAAAGTAAAATCTTAATTCAGGCTGAATTTTAGTTTTGGTTCTCAATGCATTTTGATTGAATTATGAATAATGCTGTAAATTTACTATTGGCTGTTTGAGTTTTAGTTCCATTTACATCATCAGCATTATGTAAGAGTCATATGACGTGGATTAATTTCGAAATGACGCACGGAAGAAAGATTACTATTTTTAGAATAGAGAAGGAAAATTAATTTACTCTGCTAGTTTAATCTCTTATATATTCTTTATTTTTGTTACATATATATATAAGTTAATTAATAGGTGAAAAAAGTTATAATTTCTAATAACTCTTTGAATCTCTTCTCAAAATTGGTTATTTTTACTTTCTATGGTTATTTCCACTTTCTATCCTAAAAATAGTAATGTGCTTATAATAAATCTTTCTGAAGCGTGTCATTTCAAAATTAATGCTTGTCTTATGGTTTTATATAATGTCAGTTATGCATGTACTTAGATAACGCAAACATTAAATACTATAGCAATGAAAAAATTGCGGAATTCAAAATACACAGAAAACAGTTGAACCAAAAAAAAAAAAAAAAAAAAAAAAATCAAGTGCAACTATAACTGT